TTCCCTACCATTGCTGTCAATTATTTGTTCATTCTTTGTTGATGGCAACTTGTGGACAAGCTACTTCTTTCCTCAAAGTGCCAGTCATCTATCAGCAATCAGACAAGCACCTGATTTTTTTTTTTTTTTACACTTAATTTTACTGCATTGACCTTTGAAACTCCACTCAATATTTTTCTGGGCTACAACAGAGTGAAATGCAATTGTTCAGTGTACCTATCAATTAATTTTCAATCAACGATATTAAAAAATACAAACTAGGGTTTTTTTTTTTCAGATTTTGACCATAAATGATTTTTAGAAATCCTCAGTTGCAGAGGCAAGATCCATCAATTCCTCCACTTCTGATGCAGAAGTGAAGGAAGAACTGTAAACAAAAGCAAGCTGGGCAAACACAATTACAAGAAACCCACAGCCACTTAAGAATATACAATATTTGTCATTAAGTTATACACTTTTTTAGAAGAAAAGAGTGATAGATTCCTGCCCCTCTGCCTCAGAGAGGGACACCCTCCGAACACTTCAGAAAGGACTTGTTATACTCTCTCTTCTGCTAACAGAGAGAGCAGGATAAATTTTAGAAGTTCAGACCATACAAGCAGAAAACAAGAATCAAAGGTTCATAGCAATGCTACCATCATCCAAAAATTTAGCTAGTCTATCTCACTACAGACCAGGCCACTAATGTTCTGATTTGATTTTATAGGTGATCTTCCTGTGGGTCAGATACCAATCTCTAGAATATACTTTCCTTTAAGAAGAGACCTAATCAGTTCCATATTCATCTTTCAGCCTGTAAAAGATCTGTGGCTGGAACAATATCAACCTGACTCCATTTGGGGATGTCTGCCTTCAAGGGAAACTCAGATAATACGGTATCAATGTAATCTGATTTTCTTTCTTCCTCTTAAGCCTGTTTCTACATGTTAAGATTTTGCCACAAGTTCCTTGTGTCTGCTGTTGCCATCTGTCCTTCCTATTCCATGCTTCATGGAGAGATGCTAGCTCAAAAGCCAGCCATGTAATAGAACATTCTGACACTTTGTGAAGAACCAAGAAGGAAGACACAGAGGGCACATTAAAATGACTCCCAGTCTAGACCTGAATCACAAAGCAGATGGCTAACATTTTCCTCCTACATCAAGGAGCATCAGTGAGTAACGAACCCCCACACCCCAGGTGGCTTCTGGTTAGTGCCCCCTCTCTCCAGCCAACTGAATAAGAGCTAAAGCACTCTAAAATGGAGATGCACTGGCATCTGCGTGATCAAACAAGGAAAGGAAAAGATATGAAAATCCTCCAAGGAGGGACAGGACTTATGCAGAGTTGCCTGTTAAACAGGAGGAAGCGAGGTAGTTTCTGTAAGAGCTTCATAACATGTACAACTCAAACTGAGATGCACTTCCCTGAGCCAGCCCAGGGGCTTAGCACAAAGCAGAAGGCTGGTACATGAAGGGAGTAAAAGTCATATGGGGAAGGACAGGATGAGTCAAAACTAAAGGGCCAGATCCTCCACAGTGTACTCATAAATAAATGATGCAATACCAAAATGCTCTAGCCACACATTTGAACCTAAATGCCTACAAACCACTGCAAAGCTCCACTGATGCATGTAAGAAAAGCAAAGGGGAAGAATCTCTCTTAGGGCACAAAATCAAGTGTTAAGTTAATGAGAAATTCACATCTCCATTCTGAATATATTCTGCAGCCAAAATATCCTTTAGGAATTTTAAATCCACTCTGCAAGCGTTACTGTAATTCAGGAAATCACTTTCTACAACCCTAAAACATGTGAAGTTTAGCCCTACAGAAGAGAAACACATGGTGGGTATGCATATGCACAATATTACCAGTCCCTTGGTAATATTCAGCTTGCTTCCTGGGGAACAGCTGTCCTTTGACCCACTGATACTAACATTTATTTCTCATGTGTCATGACAAAAGCAGTTTCCTGCTTTTCTGTCCAATTTTTAATTCCTAAGACTTCTAGATTTTATAGCTTTCATCACCTTTGTTCAGTAACAAAAACTTCCTCAGTTCTTTGAAAGTTTCACTCCAAAAAATGACCTTCATATAGAAGGCGTTCTTGCTATTCATACTTAGTTAATGATCAGCAAATCTAAAGATGTTCTATATAATCTTATCTCACCAAGACTTGCTTACTTCATGTTAACCATATGGTATTCAAAAACTAAAGCCACAACGGAACTCAGAAACCTTGATATCTGGAAATTTAAATTTCATTGTAAATTTGAGGCAGGACAACCTCAGCAGCAGAATTTCACAAAAGGTCTGCAACACATTACTTACAAGAGGAGGTGGGAGCAGTTTGAAGAGACTATCTTCCACAGCAAAGCCTATCTTTGTTGGGATGAATTTATACCCTCAAAGCATGAAGGATGTATGTTTTCCATGGAGCTTCAAGAGGAAGGAAGACAGGAAGTCTGAAAACAGCTCGAGGAAAAGCAGAATAGATGCTCTTGCTACAAGCAAAAAGGTTGTATCATGTTGCTGTGCTGTCTCAGAAAAAGAACAGTGCAATTTTCAGCAAGCCATTTAAAAAAGCAGATCCATGGAATAAGAAGGTGCTCCTCCAGAGAAACCTGTCAGATTATCAGTCCTGATCTGATTTTGAAGAGCATTTGTTGTAGGCTGAGGAACTCTGCCCCTTTGCAAAAACCACAATTTTTGTGAGCTGATAAAGCAGTGGTGAGCTCCCAAGGGTGAGCCTGCCCCAGCACATGTAGCACCGTACGCAGAGAGAGATATATTCATTTTCAGTGACAGGCACATACACAGAGCAACAGCTCTTCTGCTCAAATATAGTCTTCGGTTCAGGAGGGACATGCTTCTATGCAAATAAATCCAGAAGTTGAGAGGAAGTGGTGAAAAGTGAAAACTTTGTTTGGTAATCATAAAATATCTGTAGGGCCAATTAGATTAGAAGGCCACTTCTGAGACTCCAGGCTGTACACTCACTGCCTTTTCAGACTCTTCCATTCATTTTGTCTGCACTGCCCCAGACCAGGGCAAGCTTGTACTAAAACTCAGCAAACTCTTCACCATAGGCGAAGAGTCCTACCCACAACTCAATTGTTTGCTTCACACTGACACCAATGGGTGACCTGCTTCAGTGCTGTTAACTGACACACGCATCTACAGTGATTTCAAAGTCCTGCTCTGCACCAGGACTTACAAGATTCACAGGTTCATGCACCATCCAGCTGAGTGAAATGTTTATGACTATCTGGAAGTTATTTCTGCTTTACTGTCATGGACACAAAAGATTACATAGCCCTGAGCATAGTGATTTCCCTGGATACACAGTTCAAAATGTCCCTCTCACTACAGAGAATCACTTTTTATGTCCCACATGCTTCTGTGTAAACAGAGTCACCATGTCATTAACTTTTTTTTTTAATCTTACCCACTGACTTCTTTTTAGCAAACCAGCTCAGCTAGGTAGGGAACAGATGGATCCAAGTTTGGTCACTCAAGAACACTGAAAATTTGCAAGTACAGATCGTTGAAATATGCCATCATTAAAATATGGTTTCACCAAAAAGAACCTTTTCTTTCTGAAAGGCTTACATAGTGAGACAGTGTAAAAACACAGATTCTATACCCATAAATACCCAAGGTAATTCAAGAGAAAAACAATTCTTCTGTACTACAACATGGCCACAGTACATTTTAAAATAGGCTAACTTTTCTGCTCCTCTCAGTATTAAGCTCTGCCATCCATCCTAATTCTGTACCCCTGCATTTCCCCTTGCTGGCTGCATGCCACAACCACATTTTCCCAGACTGAAACTGTGCTCGGCCTCCCACTACCTAATACAATAGATGACGCAGACATGAAGTAACCTCTTCACAGGGTACTCACTTTGAAACATGCCTGTCTCATCAACATATCCCTTGACTCCAAGAATAGAATTTCACCATTCATGAAAGTAAAGCAGTGCCCCCCCATACACTTTTCTTATGCTAACATAGCAGATAGGTTATATGAAAGGAGAACAAGAAACTGCTTCCCCAGGCTCCCAATGAAATAAAAGTAATTATCACCTAGACAAAGGGATCATGCTCCAATTAACTCCACTGGCAGCTAGGGTGACCACAGAACAGATAGAACAACAGAAACTCAGATTTACATCCTTGAGATCTGCACTAAAGGCAATGAGGACAACAAACCTTTAAGAAGAGGGGAAGAAAGTCCAGCAGCCTTCTCTGTTGCTCCTCTGGGATGAGAAATGGAGCCACCTGCTCATACTCTACAAACTGTCTGCTTAGAGTCTCCCACTTGAGGGTATGGCTCTGCGGTGATTTGTCCTTGCTGTGTGCAGGCTGTCCTGACACTTCTGCTTTGTCTCCATCATCAGGGCTTTGCTCTTGCTGTCCTGCTTTGCCAGCTGAATCCTCCAGCTGCCACATGAGTTCAGCTGCTTTGTCCATGCTGAAACAAGATGTGAAGTTAAAGATAGCATCATCTCTTACCAGCCAACTGCCCCATGAACTAGACCCTGACAGTCTTAACTATTGGAGCTGGGGAGCTTAGAAGCATGGAAACACTGGCAGCCACTGACTCTTCCAATTCTGATGGCAAAGCACTCTGCTACTGGATAAGAGCATTACCACCTTGCAATCACTTGAACAAGCTCTCTCCCATGAGACATGTGTGTACATGCTACAGAACTCCTCTGGGTTTTGGCAGGCCAAACTGGTAAACCATGCAGGAAATCTGGATTCCAGCCCCAGCTTAGCCACTGAGCCTGATCCTCTCCCTGTACTTCAGTCACCCCAATTGTAAAACAAGTCATAACTATTACCATCATCAGATCTGCAACAGAAGAGCACTACCCAAGAGCCATGTTACACATTTCATTGAGTATGGCTGCTAAACTAAGCTGCATATCTCTTATGCATTCCCTACCTAAAGTAGGGTTGAAGCACTGGCTGGAATAGGAACTGTGTGAAAAAGCCAAGGATTGCCCACATGGGTGTGCTGGCCCAAACAGGCAGCCACATTCAGTTCTTCTATCCTGCAGATGTACAGCTCTGTACAAGAGGTATTTTCACTACAACATTACCCATTTTGCTGATCCTGTAAACTGAGATGGATACGCCTCAATGAAGGAGCAAGGTGTTCCTAGCAGCCTCATTTCCACCAAATTGAACCTAAAATTGGTCCATCTTGCACTATAGGTAGATGAATTCTTCTGGTACCCTCATCTCAACCCCAAGTCCTCTCATCATTTCCAACTCTGTTTTCATCCATAGTCTTCTGAGAGGTCACTGACACAGCCTTGAATTCACAGCAACTCTACTCCTTTGCTGTAGCCTTCTGTGAGCTCACCCTGCTACCCAGCATCTACACAATGACAACATGTACACCAATGGAAATCAGACTTCTCCAGTGTCCATCAAAATCAGCCATATGCTTATTGCTGTCCAGAACATTGTCTGACTACTCAAAATATGACACGCAAATTATCATAGTGTGGGCAGGCACTTGGGGAGTTGTCATCAAGATGACCATAGCTCATTAGCTTTACTTACCAAATATATTATATTTTAAGAGCCTAGAAGAATCTTTAGCACATCATTTACCCCCTCAAAGAAAAACACCAACAGAGTTTCATTTCTAGGAAATGGGTTTCTTCTCTACACTGTTTTTTTGACTGCCATTCTAGCTTGTCAATAAAAATGTCAAAAAGCAAATGTAACTAAAAAAACTGAGTCAGATCTCCTGCACTACCAATACATACATCCTTTAAAATAAATTTTAAAAAAAGACTATTATGAACCTAGTTTAGAAATTACTACATTTGGTATTATCTTCCTTCACCATCCATCAGCTATGCAGCTTGCTTACTGCTTGCGTCCTGCCCACTCCAAGCTAGATGAACCAGTTTCACTTCCACACTCATGCAGTAGCTCCATACTGCAGAGATCAAGAGGCCATCACTATCTTGTCACTGTGCACCACACCACCTGCAGCAAGCTGAAGGTCCCAGCAGACACCTACGCTTGCTTGCAAGTGCTGATCCTTCACACTACAGGAGAGGGTAACTTATTCTACCACAGCCCATACTCCATCCTTCACTAGGAGGTGGACGACTACAAAATTTTGATCAGTCTCCAGGGATGTCAATCTGGAACTTCCTACCCCAACGACATTTTGTGTTTCACTGCAGTTGTTTTCTTTAATTACCTGTGCTAAGACAACACAGCTCTGTGAGCAGAAAAAAGCGTGATGACTATCTGCACAGAGTAAACAGGAAGACTGTTCCTCATGACTGTGTGGGAGTTACATTTGTCACAAGTTATACTTAGCCCTGGTATGGGATTTTGGCCCACTTGAGTTATTGTGAAGCTGTACAGTGTGTTGAGAAAGCCTGGGTACTGTTCTAGGGGATTCACTGAACATAGTTCAGAGCTACTTTTTCAAAGAGGCTGCTCTCGCATCCCAAATAGCACCATTCTCTTCATAAGAGAAATCTCTCACCTTGGAAGCTACTCTGTTAAGCCTAAATCAATGCTAAATAACAAGTAACTCAGTCCCAGTGCCTACACTCGCCTTGGTCATTTGTCTAGAGAAGCCTGAAATCCTTTATAGAGGCATTTTACAGATGGTGAAACTGAGGCACAGAGAGGTAAAATGAAGTACCTACTCTGGCCTCAGAAGGTCAGTGACCAACCAATCAACAGCACTGAAGTGCACCGTACTGAATACCGCTCCCAATGTGTTTACCAATTTTCTCTCGTTCTATTCATAATTTACTTAGCAGGCCCTTCTTGCTGATGGCACAGCAAAGGCAGGGCTGGTCACTCAAAAAATTCTCACTCTATGAATCTATGTAATGAAAGACTTCATAAGACAGTATCCTAATTTCTTCCCCTCTCCACAGAAACTATTAAAACCAGATATGCACACACAACTTCATTAATAAAGACCTAATTGTAACAGACCATGTAAGACATTTGAGTGTACATGGAAATCTTTAATCTCCAGAAGTACATGAAAGCAAAATGAGGATTACGATTTGCCTCCTTATTTACTCCAACTGTCTAGACTACAAGAGGCATATTAGTCTAAATGTCAGACCTCTAGTATTAGTCTGTAGTCTCCACTTGCACTATCTGCTTTAAATATTCCTTCTACTAATAGCCTTTTCATGCATCTACAATTTCATTTGGACTTCTAAATCCTTTGCATTTTCTATTCCTCTTGCAGAATAATTATTTTTCTAAACCAATCACAGTATCACAGGGTCCAGCACTCAAGTATCTTTGGTATTAAGGATAGCCTAGGTATCTTGAAAAGGTCATATATGTTGGCTCTCTTCTATATTCCACCATTTGTCCTGATCCTCAGTGTCAACCAACAGCTTATTTCATTTTTGATAAGTTATAAATATCACAATGATACAAAAAGTAAAGTCTAAATAAAAGATTAAAAGATACGAAGGTGAAAACATATCAAAAAAACCTAATGCTATCATTCAGAAAGTAGTGTCAGGTAACAGAGAGGAAGTGGAACTTACTAATGTATTTTCCCTTTTGTTCTAAATGAAGCTTGTGCAAAATCACACTGCAATCTGGCTACGCCTTTTCAGACTGATAAAACAAAAGGGAAGAAAGGCCTGAGCAAAGCTGGCAGAGGGACGGGCAGAACGCTGATACTAAAAGCTTACTGGGTGAACAAGCATGATTTTTTTAAGTTACATTTTAATTATATTTACCTGGGATTAACTCCTCCAGCAGTCCAAAGAATGATCCCACGCAGCTACAAAATCCCAATTTTCACCAACGTCAAGAAGTTTACTTACGCATTTAAAATAATTTGTTTTCAGAGAAGGGTCTCACTGCAAGATAGTTGACCAAAACACAATCAAGTCTCATACCAAGTTTCAGTGTTTGGTCCACTTTTTATGGTAATTATCTGCAAAAAATGTCAGATTTTGGAGTGCACATGGAAATCTCTACTCTCCAAAAGCAAAATAAGTACTACAATTTGCCTCCTTATTTGCTCCAACTGTCCAGACAACAAGAAGCATATTAGACTAAATATCAGACCCCTTCCTTCTCCTAATAGCCTTTTCATTAAATAGCCTTTTTTATTAAAACCCAGGATTCTGATGACTATCAGAAACACACGGCTCTCAGCATCTCCAAAATCCACTGTGTGATACTTCTTAATACCCCCTTCCTTTCCTTGGCAGCCAAGATAAATTTGTTCATTAAAGTCATGCCAGTCAATCATCTTAAACACTAAAAAACAGAGATTCCCAGGAAAGCTGTCTAATGCCATAAGAGACCCAAGCAGAACACGGCATCGCTTGTTTCTTTTATGAACCATCTTATCTCACAAATTCTAGTTCTCCCCCAATTCAGTCACAAACTCCCTCTTTGTGGCTCACAGGAAATGACAGGACCTCAGAACAAACACTGTGCCAGACACTGTCCATCTACTCTCTTACCTCCGTCCCTCTTAATCACCTTAGTTCTTCCTCCTTGAGCTCCCTCTGCCTTTATTAAATTATCTACCTAATAGTAGATAATTTAGACTATTTAGACTGATAAAACCAATCAGTCCTAGGTTTAGTGATCATACTTGACATATTTCATGAGGCAAACCCAGAAACACCACCAAAAAGATTTACACTTTGATGTCACTCTACTTATCTTCTCCAACAGGAAAACTGCAATGAACTAAAACGAGTTTCAAAATTCAATTTCCTACTCGTCCTTGCCAGGTTCATTTAATTGTAAATTCTATGGTTCTATGGGGAAGGTATTCTCTATTCCCAAGCTCTGTCACAGTGCTTCATACAATAGAAGCCTAACCTGGATGGCGCCTTGAAATAAAAAGTTTACCAAATACAATTAACAGAGTGGTTTTAAAAGACTTGTCAGCTTACAGAAGGTTGAAAACTGTTCAAAGAACAAGTCCCATTTCAGTAGGACATGGCCCCTACTTTTTCAGCAATATAAATACCATTTCAGCTTGTTTCAAGAAGCTGTGACACTATTACTACCAAAGGAGTTGCATTCATTTACACTAGGACTTCATCTGTCCAAGCATATTTTTACTTTTTGAGTACATGTAAGTTGGACAAAGCGTTTCTGCAGTACCATCTCACAAATAATTAATTCAAATACTTCATTTCTCTCTATTTTTGTTTGAGGAGCACCTCTATGCAATCCAAAAGTAGCTGTAAAACTGACTTAGGCTCTCCCCACCTACCCACTCTTCATTTTTTCTGTTTTAAAAAGTAGCTTCTAAGTTTCTAATTGGGAACAGTTTCTTCTCTGACTTGCATATACCCCTACTGCAGCAAAGAGAGAAGCAGGGGTATTGAGATGTGATCCTCCTGGAAGTAGTGCCCCTACCTCAACAGCAAACAGAACGCTTCTGGTCAGTCACGAAAAAAATAATTGTGACTAATTCA